CACCTCCCAGCTCTCAAGCAACCAGTAATCCTCTGCCTGTCTCTGTGAACCTGCCTATTCGAGACGTTTCACATAAATGGAAACACACTGTGTGTTTCTGTGTCAGGCCTCTCGCTGAGCATAATGTTTTCAAGGGTCATCTATATTGTAGCGTGTGTCAGGGCTTCACTCCTTATAGTCCAGTAATATTCCATTCATTCATTGATGAACAGACAATTGGACTGCTTCTAATTTTTGGCTATTATGCATAGTGCTGTTATGGAGAGTCACGTAGAAGGTTTTGTGCGGACAGATGTTTTCATTTCTCTTGGGTGGATACCCTAGGAGTGGAATTGCTGGGTCAGCCCAGCTGGTGTGGCTCAGTGATTAAGTGTTGACCCATAAACCAGGAGGTCATGGGTTTGATTCCTGGTCAGGGCGCATGCCTGGGTTGTGGGCTCTCCCAGGTAGGGGGCACGCAGGAGGCAGCTAATTAATTATTCTTTCTCATCATTGGTATTTCTCTCTCTCTCTCCCTTTCCTTTCCTCTCTTTGAAATCAATAAAAATATATTTTTAAAATTTTTAAAAATATATTTTATTGATTTTCCACAGAGAGGAAGCAAGGGACAGAGAGCTAGAAACATCGATGAGAGAAAAACATTGACCAGCTGCCTCCTGCATACCCCCCACCAGGGATGTGCCCGCAACCAAGGTACATGCCCTTGACTGGAATCGAACCTGGGACCCCCCAGTCTGCAGGCCGATGCTCTATCCATGGAGCCAAACCGGTTTTGGCTTAGTGCCTATCCTTTTTATTCTAGCCCTCTTAGTAAGGGTGAAGTGGTGTCTCCTGGTGGTTTGATTTGCATTTTCCTAATGACTAAGGATGTTGGGCAACTTTTCATGAGCTTTATTGGTCATTTGCATCTTTTTTTTTTTTTTTTGAGAAATGTCTATTCAAATCCTTTGTCCATTAAAAAATTTTGGTTGTGTTCTAATTGTTGAGTTCAAGGTTTCTTTTTTGTTATTGTTGTTATCCTCTCTTGAGGACACTTTTTTCCCTTGATTTTTAGAGAAAGTGATAGGGAGGGGAGGAAGAGGAGACACAGAGAGAGAGAAACAGTGATGTGAGAGAGACACATCGATTGGTTGCTTCCTGTGAATCCTGGACTCTTCAGTGCTCAGACCGATCCTCTAACCATTGAGCTACACTGGCTAGGGCAAGGTTTCTTTTTAAAAATTTTTATTTTTTCAGTTACGCTATACAGTCAATATTATTTTGTATTAGTTTTAGGTGTGTAACATAGTGTTTACACAAACAAGGTTTCTTTATATATTCTAAGTAGTAGACCCTTAACAGACTTGGGAATATTTTCTCTCATTCTATGGGTTTTCTTTCACTTTCTTTCTTTTTTTTCTTTTTCTTTTTTTAAAATATTTGTATTTATTTGAGAAAGGAAAGATGAGGGAGAGAGAGATAGAAACATCAATGATGAGAGGGAATCATTGATCATTGATTGGTTGCCTCCTGCACGATCTTTACTGGGGATGGAGCCTGCAATCCAGGCATGTGCTCTGGGCTGGAATTGAACCTGGGACCATTCAGTCTGCAGGCCGACGCTCTAGCCACTGAGCCAAACTGGCTAGGGAATCTTTTCTACTTTACTAGGTTTCAAAATAATATCTACTTGAGTATTTTTTTTTGGGGGGGGGGAGTAGAGAAAGGTGTCAGGACAACTCTTTGCCTCCCTCCCTCCTTCTGTCTCCTTCTGTTTTCACTACCAGGATAGCAGTGGGCATGAAGCAGGGGTATGCCACCCTGGCATTTCCTGAAGGGCTCCACCCCCAGTCACGCTGGCAAGTTCCAGAGCCAGGTGAATGCGGGTTTCAACATCCCTGCTTAGGGTCCCTCTCTGGGCCTGTTTCCTCAAATGTAAGGTGGAATCATCAAACCCCTGCTTTTTCCCAGGGAGCAAACAGGATTGGATTCAATACCAATTTCACACAGGAGTTCCTTCCCCTTCTGAGTCAGGTTATCGACTGTGGAGAGCCAATGCAGGATATCTGAGGCTGGGTGGTGGTGGTGGTGGTGGTGGTAGGGGAACTGACTCACCACTAGGAGCTTGTGAGGGGGCGGGGAGACAAACCTTTAGGGAGGAAGGCCTGAACTTGGGTTATCTATCTGCAGGCGTCCCAGCGCAATCCCGAGACCTGCCCCGCAGTGTTTCCAAGGCTGATAGCAGGGTGGTTAAAGAAGGAAGCAGGGCTTCTATGCCAGGCAGGGTCGTTAGAGCAAAGTCCCTGGTTCCGCCCTCTCCCTATAGCCACCGGCCCCTCCCTCAGTCCCTTCCCACCTCACTGGGGCCAGTCTAAGGCTGTCCTGGGGCTAGAAGTCACTTACCCTCTCTGGTGGTCTCCTGGGGTTCCCCCTGGAAACCAAATTATTATTACAAAAGCCCGATTCCCGATTCAATGTTTGCGAGTCTAAAGTCGCTTTTAACACCTTGTGCGAAAAGGCAATCGAGGGAGGCGGGGAGGGGAGGGAAGCTTTGGAGTCAAGAGAACAGACGGGGTCCATTTCACCTAGGGTGGCTGACGTTTCCTGCCCGTAAGGTAATGGTGGCAATAATTCCAATAACGAATGATAATGATAATGCGATTAGATGTTAGGATGGAGCCACACAGAACCCCGGACAGAGCCAGCAGCTTGAGAAATGCTCAGTAAACGGCAGTGACGCCAGGTGTCAGCCCTCTGTGTCCATGGGAATGAGGAAGAGGAAACTGAGGCCCGGAGCCCCCCAGGCGGCCGCTGGCACCAGCCAGCCCTCCCCCGGCGCCTGCTGTGCGCGGCGGGCGGGCCGGGCCGGGCTGAGCTCCCCGCGGTCCCCCGCTTCCCCTCCCCCGGCCCCCGCCGGCCCTCTCCCACGGCCGGGGAGGAAGTGGGAGACTGGACAAGGGGAAGGAAAAAAAGTTGGCCGAGCCCACTCCCCACCTCCGCCCCTCCCGAGCCGCGCAGACCCTTCGGGGCGCGGCCCGCCGGACCCAGGCGCCCGGGGCCGGTCCCCGGCCCGCCCAGCTGCCCGCCGTGGGGTGGGGGAGCTCGGGGAGCCTGGAAAACAACCGTCCAGCAGCCCGCCCCTCGCCAGCCCCTACCCTGGCGCAGCCAGCGGGCGGAGGGACTCCTTTACATAATCGCGGGCGGGCGGGCAGGTTGGCTGTGTCTCTTCGGGACCCGGGAGCCCGGCGGACCCGAGGAGGCGCCCCAAAGCCGCCCCCGCGCTCCTCCAGCGGCTGGGCAAACTGAGGCCCCGGGAAGGCCGGCGGCGGGCCCCGGATTCCCACCCCGGCGCCCCCTCCCTCCCCTTCGCCACCCTCCGCAGCCGGGGCAGCCGCGACCCACGCCCGCGTCCGTCCCAGCCGCGCGCAGCCTCCCCGCCCCCGCGGCCATCCTGCCACGCCCCAGGCACCGGGGGCAAAGCCCGCGCCCCCCCGCGCCCGCCCCTGCGCCGAGGCTGGGGGCCTGTTTATCTGGCGTCCCCCACCCCCTCCGCCCCGGGGGCCCGCTCCCCCCGCGCCCCGCGAGCTCTGGGGCCAGATAAGCTGGCAAGCTGGCACGGCGCCGCGCGGCGGGGCGGAGAGGTCAGAGGAAGGGGGGCACCCTGGGGGCGGGCTGGACCCCCCCCCCCACAACTTGACAAAACCTAATAACAGCTCGGTCTCCCCGGCGCAGCGGGCGAAGCCCCACGGGAGGGCAGAGACGTGGCAAGAGGGGACCTGCCGAGCCTGTTCTGGCCTCCGAGGCCGGGCGGGGGGGCGGGCTGGGCGCGGGGCGGGGGGGGCCGGCGGCTGCGGCACCTTTAAGACAAGGGAGGACCCCTCTTGCCCTCGGAGAAACCAGGAAGGGAGTCGCGAGCATCATACGGGGCTTTGGCTGTACTGTACAGTTACTGTAGGGGCAGTGACGCCGCCGCCGCCGCCGCCGGAGCGAGGGAGAGGCGAGGGGAGGGCGAGCGAGGGGGAGAGCGAGGCGCAGACCCCGCAGGCGAGCGGCTGAGGAGCCCAGTCCCAACTCCGGGCCCCGGCCCCGCGCGCCCCGGCCCAGCCCGGCCCCGGCCCGGCCCCGCGAGGTAAGTCAGAGCCCGGCGCGCTCCCCGGCACAGGGTGCAGGGCGAGGACGAACCGGGGGCTCTGCGCCCACCCGTGCTCTCTCGGGAAGGGGAGACCCGGGGAGCCGGGGACGTCCCGCAAGTTTTAGAGGAGGGGGTGGTTTGCAGCTGCCGGGAGGCTGGAGGCGCTCTGGATCCCGAGCCCGGGGAGGGGGCGCCTCCTGGGAGGTGGAATTGGGGGCGAAGTGCATGGGCTTGTGCGCCAACTGCCTGCTCCCCCCCTCCCCCCCGGGTGCATGGCTTTTCGGGGCTCCCAGGCGCGCGGAAAGCGGGGGAGGGGAAACGGGGCTGCACTGAGGGTGGGGGGAGCCGGCGTGGGAAGGAGGGGGCCGCGTCGCGTGCTAAGTTTGCTGTTGAGTACTGGGGGCGCTCTCCCCACTTCCCGGGGCCAATTCGGTGCTGCGTGTATACGTTGGAATTGGCCGGGATTGAGCTCCATGGGGTATAGGGGGGAGGGGGCTGAAAAACAGGGAGGGGGGCTTTGCAAAGGAGGGGGAAGGGGTAGGGTGTCCGGGTGGGCGGGCGCGCCCGCGGGCTCCTCTGGGCGTCGTAGTCTTCCTGCCGTTTGCGGCAGGCAGGTGGTAGGCAGCTTGGACTACAAGTTCCAGGGTGCACCTCGTCGGCGGCCCGCCGCGGCACGCGGGTAGGGGCGGTGCGGAGGAGGGGCGGTGAGTGGCGGGCCTGCGAGCCAATGGCCGCGGGCCGATCGCGCGGTGCGGCGCAGGGGCGGGCCCAGCGGGCTCGGGGGGCGGGCCTGAAGCTAGGCTCCCCTCGCCGGGGGCCGGTGGCGGTCCCCGGCTTCCGGCTGCGCGGCCCGCGGGCCGGCCCCCTTCCCGCCCCGGGGCCCCTCCCTGCCTGGTTGTGTAACCGTCCCCAGCCCCCCCTCTTCTCGGCCCCCTGCCCCGGTCGTGGGGGGGGGGGTGTCACCCACCCGGTGCTCCCCGGGGAGGGCGGCGGCCGGAGCGGCCGCGCCTCTCGTGCGAGTCCGGGGATGCGCGGCCTAGTGCAGGCCGGGCCCGGGCGTGGGGAAGGCGAGCGGGCGGACCCAGATCCGGGGTAATTTGCATCGCCCTCCCCCCAGTCCGGGTGGGGATTGGCCGCCGGCGGCGGGGGGTGGCGCGGAGCCAGGCTCACTGCCGTCTCCCGGCCCCTCGGAGGAAGCCTGCCCTGCCGCCACCGCCGCCGCCGCCGCCGGGGCCGGGCCCCCTCGCCGCTGACCCGGGAAGGAGGTAGGAGCCCCCGGTCGGGCGGTGCGGCGGGGCCCGCAGGCCGGGGCGGGGGCCGTGCGCTGCGGCCGGCGCGGGGGAGGGGGCCGCTTCCTGCCCCTGCCCGGGCCTGACTCATCCCTGGGTGGGGGGACCGGCCTGGCCCCTCGCCCTGCCCGCGCCGCCGCCTGGCCTGGCCCTGGCCAGGGCCGCGGGAGGGGGGGCAGAGAGCACGCCTCTCCACCGCCCGCGCCCCCAGAGCGCGTGACCCTGTCTCCTCTGGCCCAGACCCCCCCCCCCCCCTTTCCTTTGACGCCACCACCACGTGCGAACCCTGAGCCCGGGCAGAGGACTTGGTGGGATCTGGCTCTCTCCCTCCCTCGGCCTCCCTCCCTGGGCTGGGAACCGGCCCTCTCCCCCAGCGCGGGGCCTGGGAACCGGGCAGGGGCCTGAGCCCAGTGCCAAAGCTGAGTGCCTCCCCCCTCCGGCTCAGGCCTTTGCGGGTTACGGCAGACACTGCCCGCGCCGGCTGGGGAACCGGGGGGACCGCAACAAGAGATGACTGTCCAGCACGGCCGGGGCACCCAGTGGGCACTCACTAAATATTTGGGGAATGCAGCCAGCATTTGGCAGATTGGCGGGGGGGGGGGGGGGGGGGGGGGGAGGCAGGCAACTCCTCTCTTCCCCCAGCCAGGTGGCGGAAGTAAGAGGTGTTGGTGCCCCTTCCCCGGGCGTGCCCACCTGGCTCACCCATGGGTGGCAGGCCCGGTTTGCTTCCTCTCTCCCTGCCAGCTGCCTTCAGGAGCAGGGCTGGCCTGAGAGGGAAAGGGCGGCTAGAATTCCATGTCACCCCCCCACACACACCCAGCACGGCCAGGGCGTAACCCTGAGTGTGCCGCTCCCACACTGGGGGGGCCCTCCCCGGGACCAGCCAATCACTTCCTATTGGCAGGGCTGGTCTTGGGAGAGGTCTGAGGAGTCCGGGCTGGGCCCAGGCATTTCCCCCCAGGACCACCCCCCAGCGGGGCCCCTAGAGCATGCCAGGCACTTATCAGCTGGGCTCGGGTCTCTGTTTACCGCCAGCCATCGCTGTGGAGACCAGAGCCTGGGGGAGAGGGGGGGCAGGAGCCAGTGGCTGGAAGAGCGAAGCCCTGGGATCCGCATGCCTAATGAAGAAAGAGGAGCCATCGGGGACACTGAAATTTTAATTCGTGGGTCACTTTGGGGGGGGTATTTATTATTCGGCTCTGATTGGCTGCCGGGTGGCCAGTCAGCACCCTGGCGTGCTGGGAGCCATACAACTCTCAGCGGAGGCCCTCGGAGAGCTGCGGGGTGGCTGCAGGGAGTGGATGCGTCCCTTTCTCTGTGTGGGAGACTGAGACCCAGCAGACAGGGCCCGGCCTTCGTCCAGTGGGGAAGGTTCCAGGGGCAGTAGCAAGTCCTGTGTGTGTTTGTTTTTACTTCCTTTCTTTGCCTCGGGTCCTTCTGACCAACAGCTGGGTCAGGCTGCTGGCAGTCCCCATCAATATTTGAGGAAACCAAGGCTCGGAGGGGATGCTAAACACGAGTGTGGGGACTCGGGGGCTTGCAGCCAGCCTCAGAGCGGGTTCCTTGTTGGGCAGGGGAGACTGAGGCCCTGGGGAAGCGGAGAGCAGCCCAAGGTCACCCAGCCAACGCTGGGTCTGACCCCTGTGGTCTGCCGTCCGGCTCAGGACTTGCCCAAAGTCCTCCCTGCGTCCCAGCTGAGGGGCATCTGCCCCCCTGTCTTCCAGAGGGCCAGGAGGTTGACAGCAGGCACCTGTTGGCCAAATGGAGTCTTCCCGGGGCTTATTAAACCCTTTGCCCAAAGGGAATAATGAGGCTCAGAGAATCCGAGTTGCCCAAGGTCACACAGCATGAGACCCAGTTCCCTGCCTCCCGGCTTTCCCCGGCAGGCGCCTGTAAGGCCTGCAAGGCCCTTTCTTGCCCCCTCCAAGCCACAGTCCTGCACCTTGGCCATCAGAGGCGGGCAGGGCTCATTGCTTTATGACCCATTACACCTGAGGAGGTCACCTCGCAAGAGCCAGGACTCAGGGCCAGCCCTAGGAGGGGAGCTGTTGGGGTTTCCAGTGCCACTGCACTTGATCTGTGACCTTGGACACGCCCCTTGGCCTCTCGTAGCCTGAGTCCCCCACCCCCACCCACCCCGTAACATGTAGGGTCCCCAAGTGGTGCCTGTAGACTACCTGTTTTCTCTCATGGAGGAGGCACCTGGGTCAGCTCGGGGTACAACAGGGATTCTGCTGGAGTGTGTGCCAGCTGGGTGTCAGACACTCGGCACCCCTCACCTGTCACCTTGGTTCCAGGCACCTGAGAGGCCATAAACCACCGGGCAAAGGCCCTGGTCAGCGGGGACCAGAGGAACAGGCTTGGGTGGGGGCCAGTGTGGTCCAATCCCAGCCTGGCCTTTGGCTCCACCTGAGGTCCACTGAGGGAGGGCACTTCCCCTCTGCCACCTTCAGTTTTCCCATCAGTACAACGAGGAGGCTACCTTCAGCCCAACAGTGTCACTGTGAGGACTTACTCAGTGATCCCTCAGAAATGTTTGTTGAGCGACTGCTGTGCAGCGTCAGGACCTAGGGGGCGCCCCTCCTGCGTGCCTGTGTCGATGCCCCTTGGGGTCAGGGCCCTTCCCTGAGTTCACAGATGTTGGCTGGACTCCAGCCCTGCCCCAAGTGCCCTGTGTGACCTCTGGCGAGCCTTTTCCTCTTCTGGGCCACCATAAGGCAGCTCTGAGGGGGCGTGAGAATAAGCTGTCCCTCGCCCCAAGGCCCCCGGGTGGGGGATTTAGTCATCTGCTGGTACCTAGGGGCGGTCTGGTGGGGGAGGGGAGGGCATCCTGGGAGGACTAGTTAGGCCAGATGGAGCCAGGTGGCCGGTGATCAGATCCACTCTGCTGTGTACCCGGACAAGGAGCCTTTCTCTCTCGGAGCCTCAGTTTCCTGCTGTAGAGGGGGGTGGTGACCCTGCCTCCCGCAGCTGTGTGAATGGATGTTGAGATAACTGAGATCAGACCTCGACTGCTCTTAGGGCTGAGGCCCGGGCTTGGGGCACCAAAGCGCGGGTGCCACCTGGAGAATCTGGCTCTGCTGAGGAGCCTGGCCAAAGGACCAGCCCCTCCATCTGTCCTCCCAGCGGGCCGCGGACAGCCACTGGGCAGAGCTTCCCCACCCACACCTTTCTGGCTTGACTGGAAAACAAGGCCTAGCCCCCCGCACATCAGGACGTCTTTGGGAGGGAACTGCTGCACTTATGGGCAACCAGGACGCCAGGGCTTCAGCGGGGGCTTCCGGGGGCCTCCAGGCAGAGCCTCCGCTGCCGGGACTGGGGGGAGGGAGGAGGAGGGTCTGGGAGCAGACAGGAGCAGAGCTAGAGGTCACCCAGACCGCTCCGGTGCAGGTGCAGCTGAGCAGGGCAGGTAGGCAGACGGTGATGGGATTCTTCGACGCCAGCTGTGCTTACTGCAGCGACGGCCGCCGCCGCTTCCTTCTCCCTCACCCTGATGGCTGTCTTCCCGGGGCTTCCTCTTGGAACCCAGTCTTGGTGTCGGGGCTGTACTTCCTGGTCCATTACAGCACTCACAGCGTGGGAACAGGGTGAGCCTGAGCCCCACCCATGAGTTGGGGGTCAGATGGGATCCCCATGACCTCATCCTCCCACCCTCACCCCCACACAAACACACTTCCCACTGGGCCTGCAGCCTTCCTGCCTCTGGCCCTTTAAGGCTGGGGCAGGAAGCCCCTCCCCATTTAGGGCAATAAATGGACACATAAAATGGCCGAAGGCCTGTTTGCTGGTGTCTGGCCAGAGGGAGGCCTGCGAGGGCAAGGAAGTAGGGGGCAGGCTGGCAGGGGGCAGCCAGCAGCCACTCTGGGCCTTTAGTGCCGCCCCCCCACCCCCCAGTAGAGATGCTGAATTCCTGTCCTATTAAACCCCCAGCCGGGGACTGGGCCAGGCGGGGACTGGCACCAAGTCAGGGCAGGGTAACCCGGCGGGACCAACCTTGCAACACAGGCTGTGCGCCTGGGAGGGGGAGGGGGCGGCCGGGCGTGGGCCTGGCAGCTGAACCTGGCCACTAGGCTTGCTTTGTGACCTTGGACCAGCCGCCCACCCTCTCTGGGCCTGGTTTTGCTCCCGTGGTTTCTTCCTTGGGGACCGTAACCCACTTCGTTGGCACAGAGTGGGTGGTCAGGTGGCTGGAATAACATTCAGAAATGAAGTTCAAAAAGCCCCTCATCCACAAGGGGGAGCAAACAGCCTTGTTGGGGTTGCACTGGCACATAGTAGGTCCCCAGGCAGTATTTGCTGAATGGATGAGAGTGGGACTCTGGACCTAGCGCACCCCCAGCCCTCTTGCCACTGTCCTGACCCCTGAGGAAACCGAGGCACAGAGGGTTGCTGCTGCTTGCCCAAGGTCACCCAGTTTGGAAGTGGAGGAGTTGGGGTTTGGATCTGGGCTGCCATGCCTGGCACATAGTAGGTGTTTAGTGTTTCTTTGGTTTGTTTTTGTATTCTCTGGCTGAGGAACGCATGGGTCTTGACCCCTTAATGAAGCTGCCCTGTCCCAAACACTCCTCCGGGAGGCCTAGGGTGGTGATTCCCTGCCCCTCCCCTTCCCCCTCCTGGCCATCCCCTCTTTTTCCTGGGGAGTGGGGGTGGGAGGAGGAGGCCTGACCTTGGAAAGCTTCCTGTGAACGCAGCCTCTCCTTCCCAAGTCCCCTCTCCTAAGCACCCACCTCCAGGCTTTTTCCTCTGCGGTCCCCCTTGCCCAGGACACCCTTCCTATGATGTTGGGGTCCTTCCTGGGTGACTCTTGCTGCCCTTGGAACCAGGTCAAGGCATCCTTGACCCCTGTGTCCCTGCTGTTGAGTGGCAGCAGTTCAGGCCAGCTCAGATCAGAGTCTAGTCCCCTCCTGGCTGCTCGTCTTGTCATCTCCAAGCCTCTCCTCCTCTGTCAAACCCAGGGCTTTACAGTGGAGAGGATGAAATGAAGGGGCTGGTTGGCTCCTAAAGGTTCCCAGGCACAGATGGAGCTCCCCGGAGGAGCCCTGCCTCCCAAGGGATCCCACGCTAGATGGCAGGTGGAAGCACTGTCCTCTGGTCCTGGGTTTGTCAGTTGGCTGCTGGGTGGGGCTGGGTGTGGGCTCTCCAGCCCATAGCTGTCTTTGGTTCTTGTTGAATGCTGTGCTCCTACTGTGCGCCACCCAAGGGAGGGCCCAGCATAGGGGCCTAGGAGTGGCCCAGAGGGAGGAGGGCACCCCACTTCTAGCCCGGAGGAGCCTGCTGAGGCCTGCCCCTTAGCTTGAGGAGTCAACAGAGGCCCCGGAAATCCCAGGAGGGCAGCTCCTGGGGGGTGGAGTTGTGATGAAAGACAGCCCAGGTGGGTGTGATCCTGAGCTCTGGGTGCCACGGGGGTGGTACTTTCCTGGAGGAGAGAAGTTGTGTTGGATTGTCACTACCAAGGAAACCCCCACTTCCCGAGTACCTACTAGGTGAAGCCTCCTGTGGAGACAACCCCAGGGCACACAGTGGGTGTTTTCCTTCCAGACCCCACCTGACCCACCAAGAGGGCTCAGCGGTCCTCCTTTTCCCATCTGACAGGGTCTTCTACCCCTTTCAGAAACCCGGATGGGGCCGTGGCTCTGGGCACGGTAGGTGGGTGAGATGTGTCCCTGGAGAGAAGATGTGGGTCAGGTGTCTGCAGAGCCAGTTTAGTTTCCAGGGTGAGGAAAGAGATAATGGCTTGTTGGGTAGGTCGGGGGCCAGTCTCTGACCTCTGTCAGCTCCTGGACCCCAGAACCTATGGATCAGCCTTGCTGGGCACCCTTGGCAGGATTTTATGTCTCTGGGCCTTGTTTTTTTCATCTGTAAAATGGGGGATCATGCTACTCTCATGGGGACTTTCCTTGGTTGACACTTCTCCAGGCCCTGCCCTTTGAGGGACGGTCTCTGATGATTAGCTGGGGAAATAGAGGCTCCACCTGGGAGATGAAAGGGATATGGATACTCTAGGACAGTGGTCAGCAAACTGTGGCTCTTGGAAGGGAAGGCAGGAAAAAGGAGGGGTGGGGGAGAGGGGTGCGACAGAGTTTGCTGACCATTAGACTAGACTAAACGTTACCGTGTACTTGGAAGCTGTGAGGATTAGGCAATTGTGGCATGTTGTGTGCAAAGAGGTAAAGGGTAGTATATGACAGTGGCAAACTCATTAGTCAACAGAGCAGCAAACTGCGGCTCACGAGTTGCATGTGGCTCTCGAGCCGCAGTTTGCCGACCACTGCTCCAAAGGTTTCCTTAAACCAGCGGCCTCCAGCCTTTCGGCCTCACAGTTGGCGACCGCTGCTCTAGGCCCTTTGCACATGGCGCGCTTCGTCCCACTCGTGGAGACCAGGGTCCCGGGTCAGCTGTGAGGCCCAAGCTGCGGCTTTCCCGCTGGGTGGCTTCTGGCAAAGCGGGAGCCCGGGTGTCCTAACCCTTAAAGTAGGGCCGTGCTAGCCCCTGGCCTGGTGTGCTCAGTGCTAGAGGGAGGGTGGGTGAGTCACCTGAACTACTTCAGGTCGTGACCTTGAGGCCCCTGGAGATACCTCAAGGCGCAAGGGGACCTTAGGGGCACCTGGGGGCCAATGGCAAGCAGGGCTAGAGTAGCCATCTTGGGTTGTTGGTCGCCTGGATGGGGAGGAAGGAAAGGAGGGGCCGAGGCTAGTCTGATTCCATTTGCTCTCTGGAGCCCAGAGGCCAGACAGCAGATGGTGGAAGGGGGCGGGGCCACCGCAGGGGCTCCTCTGATGCCGATCGATCCTCAGATGGGGTTGACCTCCATCCTCCTGTTCTCAGCAGCCACATCTGAGCCGACCCCCTTCCCCCAGGGCTGGCAGAACAGAGGGGCCAGCGGAGCAGCTGGTGCGGTCTGCAAGGAGGAGGGCGGGCCTTGGAGGGAGACGGCGGCCTGGGAAGTGTAGTGCCTGCCTGAGCGTTGCACAAAGGCCTCTGTCAGCTCTGAGGCCTGGACCCCACTCCCAGAGCAGCCCTGGGTCGGGACTGTTCCATTCTGGCCTTGTACCAGCCGGACCAACCCTGGGCTTCCTTGCTGGGCCGGCCACCTGACCCCCTCAGGGCACTGCCGGAGGATCTGGGCTAGAGTTGGGCTGGGAGGCTGGGGTCCTTAGGAGGCTGAGGAAGGCCCAGCTCAGCCCACTCCTGCTGACCAGGAGCTGTGGCCCAGGAGCCGGCTGGCTGGGCCTGGAGGAATGTGGGCTGTGTTGGGTGGCTTGGGACAGCCGGGGGCTCCCCGGAGAGGGTGGAGGGGTGGGGACAGGAGCCAGAGGGTTGCACAAGCGCCCGAGTGGGTGGATGAGTCACAGCCCAAGGGAAGGCGGAAAAAAGGAGGGGTGGGGAGAGGGGCGGGACAGACAGAGTTCTCTCAATGGCCTGCTCTTCCAGAGGCTTCTGTCCATTTGACAGGTGGGGAGATTGAGGCCCAGGAAGTGGCAGGGCCTTGTCATGGCTTTGCAGTGCAGACCGGGGGGCTGAAAGGTGGAGAGAGATGGGCAGGCAGGAGGCCCAGCCCCCTGCTCCTCCTTGACGGGAAAAGGAGCGTCAGGTGGCCTGGTTTCCCCATTACTCACTGCCAGGGCCAAGCTGTCCTGGGGGCTCCAGTGGGGCCTTCAGAGTCACCAGGACAAACCCATGGCCTCAATGACTCTGCCAGGTCTTGGCCTCACCCCTTCCTACTGGCTCAGAGGCCCCCAAGAGAACTAGGTCTCACGGTGAGACAGGGTCAGAGAGGCCGAGGGGACTGGTGGGGATGCACAGCCAAGCCAGCTGGATATGGTTGGGCACAGATATGGGCCTTGGGCACATGGGCTGCTCTCCCTGAGCCCTGTCTTCTCACTTGTGCAGTAGAGGGGGTGCTGCCTGTGGGACTGCAGGGGCTGGAGCATGACAGCGTACAGTAGGAGCCTTGTGACTATCACCACCATGGCCGCCTAGAGAGGGAATGGGTAGAAGTCTGCACTCAGATGCACTAGGAAAACTTGTATTGAGGCATTTATTGAGCACCTACTGTATGCTCCTGCATCACCTCAGATTGCCCTTTGGATGCCCGTGAGCCCTCTAGAGAAGGGGCGGCTGCCAGTCTTCGTCTCTCAAGCACCCATGTGAGTTTTGCTAGATAATCGCACGTTCTGCAGAACCAGACACGGACTGACCTGGTGCACATCTGGGCAAACTGAGGGTGGGGCACTCTGAGGGTCTGGCGCCTCGGTGGGTCCCTCTCATCTCACAACCGCCCCTTCCTCTCTGTGCCGTAGGTCTCGGCGCGGAAGATGGCCGGCGGCGTGGACGGCCCCATTGGGATCCCGTTCCCCGACCACAGCAGTGACATTCTGAGTGGGCTCAACGAGCAGCGGACGCAAGGCCTGCTGTGTGACGTGGTGATCCTGGTGGAGGGCCGCGAGTTTCCCACGCACCGCTCGGTGCTGGCGGCCTGCAGCCAGTACTTCAAGAAGCTGTTCACGTCGGGCGCCGTGGTGGACCAGCAGAACGTGTACGAGATCGACTTCGTCAGTGCCGAGGCGCTCACAGCTCTCATGGACTTTGCCTACACGGCCACGCTGACTGTTAGCACAGCCAACGTGAGTGACATCCTCAGCGCTGCCCGCCTGTTGGAAATACCCGCCGTGAGCCACGTCTGTGCCGACCTCCTCGACAGGCAGATCCTGTCGGCCGATGGGGGCACTGATGCTGGGCAGCTGGACCTGGTAGATCAAATTGATCAGCGAAACCTCCTCCGTGCCAAGGAGTACCTCGAGTTCTTCCAGAGTAACCCCATGAACAGCCTGCCCCCCGCGGCCGCCGCGGCCGCCGCCGCTGCCGGCTTTCCGTGGTCAGCCTTCGGCGCATCCGACGACGACCTGGATGCCACCAAGGAGGCCGTGGCTGCCGCCGTGGCTGCCGTGGCTGCAGGCGACTGCAACGGCTTGGACTTCTACGGGCCCGGCCCCCCGGCTGAGCGGCCCCCGGCCGGGGACGGGGACGAGGGCGACAGCAACCCGGGTCTGTGGCCGGACCGGGACGAGGACACCCCCGCTGGGGGCCTCTTCCCACCCTCCGTGGCCCCTCCAGCTGCCACGCAGAACGGCCACTACGGCCGGGGCGGGGAGGAGGAGGTCTCGCTGTCGGAGGTGGCCCCGGAGCCCGGGGACTCTCCCGGCTTCCTGTCGGGAACAGCCGAGGGCGAGGACGGCGACGGGACCGATGCGGACGGGCTGGCGGCCAGCACGCTGCTGCAGCAGATGATGTCGTCGGTGGGCCGGGCCGGGGCGGCGGACAGCGACGACGAGGCGAGGGCAGACGACAAGGGGGTGGTGGACTACTACCTGAAGTACTTCAGCAGCGCCCACGACAGCGACGTCTACCCAGCCTGGTCGCAGAAGGTGGAGAAGAAGATCCGGGCCAAGGCCTTCCAGAAGTGCCCCATCTGCGAGAAGGTCATCCAGGGCGCCGGCAAGCTCCCGCGGCACATCCGGACCCACACCGGGGAGAAGCCCTACGAGTGCAACATCTGCAAGGTCCGGTTCACCAGGTGAGCCGGCGCCGCGGGGCGGGGCGGGGCGGGGAGGGGGGCGCTTCCTGGGTCCTTCCGTGTACACACACACACACACACACACACACACACAGCCTCTAGGGACCTAAGCAGCAGCAGCGTATTGATTTGGGGGTGCCTTCCCCCCAGTGTGTCCCTTCAGAGCAGCCTTTGGTGCAGGCACTAACCATAGGACCACATAGAATATGGAACATGCCCGGCGGTGCTTCGGGAGCCGGAGGAGAGAGCCCAGGATCGGTGGTTCTTCGGACCGGAGGAGAGTGTTTGCTTTGGGAGAGGCAACAGCCTCGTAGGGAACAGGGAGCTCGGTGGTTTTGAGCCACTTCAAGTCTCCTGTGCGTCTGGAAACTTACTTCGTTCGGCCAGCCTTATGGGCCACCCGGGTCCCAGGCCCTGTCCTAGGCGCTGGGGATGCAGAAGTGGAGAAATAGGCCAAAATCCCCACAGACAAAGCATGCGTGAGATAAAATCAAACGACTGATAACACTGGTTGGTGGAACGTGAAGAGAGCAGAGAACAAAGGGCGGGGAAGAGCTGCTTTAAACAGAACTGAGACCTGAAGGAGGTTAGGGAAGGAGTCAGGGGAAGAGACAGGCAGAGGGAACAGCCAGTGCAAAGACTGAGACCAGTTCAGCTTGGAGGATCACTGCAGTCAGGGGAGGGATTGGCACAGGAGCCCCTGAGCTTGGTCCTTGGGCAGGAGTTTGAGGTCAGGCTGGGGAAATTTGTGAATTGGTCTTAAAAGTCCAGAGGTAGCTGACTGGGCCTTGTGGGCCAGTCTAGTGGAGGCGGAGGGGTTGATGTGCAGGGGCCTGGCCAGGCTGGGTGACTCAGCACCACCCCCTACCCCCACCCACCCTGGGGTTCCCCCAGCCACACCCACCCAGCCTGAAGAAAGAAGGCATTGTCCCAGCTCCCAGCTCTGCCCCTTGGGGATAGGACCTGGAGGCTGACCCCTGGCCCCCTCTCCTGCAGGCCAGGAGAGGAGGGTGTGGCCTGGAGTGCACGGCCCAGGAGTATCAGGCAGGGGGCAAAGGACAGCTCACCCCTTTGGCGAGATTGTGGTTCTTTTAGTTTTGGGGGCTCCATCCTCCTCCAGATGGGGCACGGAGATGGCTCTGGGTCTCTGCACCTGAGAGGAACAGCTTGTGAGGGCTCAGCAAGAGGTGACCAGGCTGACCTGTGACCCCTGCCACAAGCCTCAGCCTATTTCAGTCTGACCTGGAGTTCTCTTGGCCATCCTATTCCCAGCCCAGGGCTGATCCCATTTGCCAGTCAAGGAAACCGAAGCATAGAGTACCAGGCCAAACCTGTTTCCCCATGCGCCCACCTGGCTGCTCTCCGTCCCTGACCGGGGCTCCAGCCCCCACCCCTTCCTCCGGGCCCAGGAGCCCAGGGCCCCTCTGAGTCACATAGGGAGTTGAGTAAGCAGGGCCTGTGGCAGCGGGGCTATAATTACGCTGGCCAGGGTTTGGGGTGATGAAACGGGAGCTGACTCCACCTCGCAGCCCCTGGCCCGCTGTGCAGCTCGGTGCAAGTCATTTCCCCTCTCTGAGCCTCGGTTGGGGAATCTCTGTTCTGCTAGCACGATGGAGTCCCTGCTGTGACCTGGCCCCGCAGTGGTCTGGGCCGGGCCCTGGGAGGCTGGGTAGAGCCCAGGCAGGAGCCGGTTGTCCTCCGATGGATGAGAAGAGGGATTCAGAGAGGTTCCGCTTTTGCCCAAGACCATACAGCAAGCAGCGTCCAAGGCCCTTTTCAGACCTTTGAGCGGCCTCTGGCCCCTGTCCCCTTTGCCCAGGACTGTCCCCGCTGCAGCCTGCCTCTCGGTCCTGGTTTGAGCCTCACGGCCAGCAGGAGTTGGGGGTTGTCCGGGAAGGGGCCTAGCACAGCACCCGCTGACCCTTGCCCCCTCCACAGGCAGGACAAGCTCAAAGTGCACATGCGGAAGCACACAGGTGAGAAGCCGTACCTCTGCCAGCAGTGCGGGGCGGCCTTCGCCCACAACTACGACCTAAAGAACCACATGCGTGTGCACACCGGCCTGCGGCCCTACCAGTGCGACAGCTGCTGCAAGACCTTCGTCCGCTCCGACCACCTGCACAGACACCTCAAGAAGGACGGCTGTAATGGCGTCCCCTCGCGCCGCGGCCGCAAGCCCCGGGTCCGCGGTGGGGGGCTCGGGGGGCCCGACCCCGGCCCCGGGGCCGCCCCGCCCGGCGCCTCCGCCCCGCCCGGCTCCCCCGAGGCCCGGCGCAACGGCCAGGAGAAGCACTTTAAGGACGAGGAGGAGGACGAGGAGGCGGCCAGCCCCGATGGCCTGGGCAGGTTGAATGTAGCGGGTGCTGGTGGAGGGGGTGGTGACGGGGCCGCTGGGAACCCTGCCGACGGCAGCTTCGCGGCTGGACTCGCCTGAAAACCAAAAAGAAGAAAAACCCGAGAGAGACAGAGAGAGAGAGAGAGAAAATCACCCCCCACCCCCCAAAAAACACAAAAAAATTATCTATATACAGATATCTATATCGATATATATATATACAGATATATATATATATGAAGCATCACAGAATCTAGGATAGTGCTTTTCTCAGATTTTTCTCTTTCATGAAGTTCTCTCCCTCCATGGGGACTCTTGCCCTCTCCTCCCAACTCCCCTTTCTCTCCACCCCGTCGATGAGTTTCGGGGCTTGGTTTGGGGTTTGTGGGACACGGGTTCTGAGTCCCCCCTCCTCCCCACTGGGCGCCCCCAGCATAGGGTCTGGGATCCCATTCGAGACCTGGGCAGGGTCCCAGGTCCCGGGCAGGGACGAGGGCTGTTGTGGAGGGAAGGGTTGAGGCAGGACTGGGGTGGGCTTGTTTTTCTCCCCTTGCTGGTTTCTATGAGTCTTTCAGACAAGACCTTAAATAATTTCTGTCTGCTGTGAGCGGACGTTAAAATAGTCCCTGAACCTACCCCCACCCTCCTTCCTCAGGGCACTTATTAAGTGGGGGTCTCCCCCCTAGATCTCCCCGTAGGCTCCTTGCCTCCTATCCTTGTCTGTGGTCCCTTATCTCCTGGCCACTGCGACACAAACCTATTTATTTCCACGTGTGGAGAAAGGGGGGACGACGGGGAGAGGGGGCACCAGGATGGCTCCCAGGGGTTCTGTTGCCTTCCTCCATGGCACTTAAACCCATGGGGGCACCCAGGGGCCTCCTCTCAGAGCGCCCCATCACCCGTCTGTGTCCCCATCCCAGGTCATTCAGACCCAGTTAAAGTTTGGAGATTCAAAACTTGTCTTCACCCTCTCCCAACTTTTTAAAGCACTTTTTAGATGGTTTCCCCCTCTTTTCCTCCTTAAAAACAAAATTTATATATATAAGTATATATAAAGAGAGATATATATAAGATATAACTTTTCCTCAGAGGAGCAGACAACAGTGTGGGGTGAGACAGCCAAGGGCAGAGGGAACCCAGGGTCTTACGGTGGCAGGGAAGAGGGGAGAGAAGAGTCCAGAAGTTCCAATGTCACAAAAGCAATAAGATTTTACAAAACGAAAGGAAACAAACAAACAAAAAAATGACAACCAACCATAAATAGAAGTCTTGGCACTTTGTAACAGAACGGGTACTATACTTTATCTTAATTTAAAAACATGTTTACAAGTTGCAACCAACTTCTATGAAAAGTTGAAAAGACAAAAAAAAGAGAGAGAGAGAGAGCGAGAGTGTAAACAGAAATTCCTAAAAGCTGATTTATTTTTGTACAAAATAATTAAAAAACCCACCCTGGATGTAGAATCCAATTCTGTGCCCCCGGTGAGAGGGAGTCAGGAAGGCCATGGGTGACGTGGGTGAGGCCAAGGTCTTCTGCGTGAATCTGCTTCACTGGGGGGGCTTGCCTGGCAGGCAGGACTGGGTTTTGTATTTCTGCCATGTCCCCCACTCCCTCCCATTCTGTCCCTTTTTGGTTCTGATTTAGAGATGTCTCATGACCCACTAGCCATACAATGGTCACCCATGTCTGTGGGGACCCTCCTTACTGACTCCCTAGCTCAGGGATGGGCCCAAGAGAGGGCTGGCCTTTCAACCAGCCAGAGCAATCTAGATCCCCCCAACCTAATCCCTCCTCACTGTTCCCCCATCCTCACCCCTTCCTGGCTTCCCGCCTTTCCTTGTGGCCACTGAGGAGCTGCCATCTTGGATATGCCATCCCCTTTGAGGTGGGTGACAGGGGGCCCCACCTCCAGGGCCTTATACCCCCAAAGCACCCCTGTTTTTACTCAAAGGCACTGACTGTCATCTGGGGGCTGGCACCTGGCCCCCCACAGGCTCGGTGTTGACTGAGCCACAGGCCACGGACGGGGGCCAGAGCAGGGAAACCAAGTTGCCAGAGGCCAGGGCACCTCCACCCCCTCTTGCATATGCAACGCCTAGTGTGGGACCCTGTATATAGACATCCTGCTGAGCTGAATCCTTCCTCCTCAATGCCCAAGGTCGGGGCGCCCCTGCTCCCCCCTCTGGTGGCTGGCCCGTCTCCTGGTAGCCTTTTGCTCTGTGACAAACCCCATCTTATCTCTTTTTTCATTTTCTTTTTTTAAAGGGAAGCTTTTTAAGAAAGCAGCTTTCACCATTGTTTCTACAGGATATGTTCCGTCTCCTCCTGGCCTCCGCCAGCCCCCCAAATGTCTCAGGAACCCCCCTCCTGAGGTGGGTGGTAGGGGAGCCCAGGGCCGGTGGCCTTGTTCGTACCCCAGCATCACAGGGCGAGATTTGGAGAACCATCTGCAGAGGTCAAGCAGAGCGCGTGAGCAGCCAGGCCAGGGACTCCCCCCGCCTCCGCCCGGCTTTCAGAGAGGCCCCCTCCCCACACACCTCCTTGCAATAAAACCAACTGAAAAATCACAGCCGTCCTGGCCAGTGGGGGTGACGACTTGGGGGATTGAGGCCTCTGGGACTATGGTGGGGGCATGGGCTGAACCCCGCCAAGCACACTTTAACACAAAGCTCCTTGGGAATTGCACTAAACCCCTACCCCTAGCTCTGCACCCAGCTTTCACCAGCCCTGCCCACCCACTCCGCCTTAACCCTATTCTGCTGCCCGCCAGCCTGTCCCGGGGCCACAGCCTCTGCATGGGCCCAGAGCCGGGACCCCCCAGCCGGCCCAGTCCCCTAACTCCGCGCAATCACATACTGTATATAGATGTGGATCGATTTTATTTTTATTCTTTAAATTAAGGTTGTGATAAAGTGTTGCCAAAGATACTGCTGAATTCTCGCGTTTCAGGAAACAAATATTTGAGGGGGAACGTGCTGACTGGTCGGAAAGGACAGCAAAAAAGTGTTTTTGTTTGGTTGTTTGGGGTTTTCTTTGGTGTTTTCTTTCTTTGGGGTGTTTTTTTTTTTTTAATTGCCTGGTACAAAAAAGAAAAAAAAGACAAAGTGAAATTGTTATTTCCATCATCTTGGTGAAATTGTGTGGATGTGTGTGTGCGCATGTGTGCGAGAGTGAGGTCCAGGCTGGGGACTTCTGATGGAGGCTGTGCGGGGAGCTCGGGGGCAGGAGTGGTGGGCCTGGCAGGATGGGGGGCCCTGAGCCCCCACCTGGATCAGTCTCCAGCCTGCCAGACTGGGAGAGAGAGATAAATGTTCTTGCTGCTGCTCCCTGCCTAGTCCCCCACCCTGACCCCAACCCTGCCTTTTGAGATTAAAAGAAAAAAAAAAAAAAAAGGCAAAAAAAAATTAAAAACCAGTGAATGTAAAGTGCCGGACCAGGCCCAGCTTGGCATGGGTGGGGGCCTTGCCCAGCCGGGCTCCAGTGGGCCATACCAAAGTCTGCCCTCTTGGGCAGCCCACCCAGGAGACCCCATGTGGCCATCTCTTCTTGTCACCCTGTTTGTACAGGGCTGTCCCTCTGCTTCCTTCCGAGGGGGGTTCTCAGGTTGGAAGGGAGGGGCCCCCAGCTCCCACCTGGGTCTTCTGGGGAGTCTGCACTACTGAGACCCATCAGCTGTGTCGCACATGGTGGGACCGAGGCAGGGGCCAGGGCCCCCAGAACCGAGGCCATCCAGGCAGCCAGGATTGTAGGAGGTGAGATGAGACTGAAAGGAAAAAAAAAAAATTTAAAAACCAACAAAAAAAGCAAAAATCCTATTTTTTGAGAAAGAAAGATATTTATATTTGCAGTTTTATTTTAAAAAGTTATTTAAGCTGAGGAAGCAGCCTTCCTGGAACGGTGGTGTTGGCCGGTGCATGACGGGTCGGCCTGGGTCTTGGGCGCCCAGGAGTCATAACCTCAGAGTTAAGACTATCTCGCACTAAATATATACATTTACATGGAGGTGGGTTGGGGCAGGACCAGGAGATGAGGGGGCTGGGGAGACCCCCATTCTACGGCCAGGGCTGCCTGGAGGCCAACGGCCAGGGGTCCTGTGCCAGGTTCCCTCAACCCCCGCCAGGCCCAGACATGAGGTGCCTTGGACTTTGGGGGACCAGGCCTGGTGAATAGGGGGTTGGCGGTGGCGCCCCTGGGGGCACAGAGCACAGACATTCCATAGACTGTATTTGAGAGTCTTTATAAAATGTGGGAGATTTAAAAAAAAAATGGTAAAATGCACTTTTGGGGGGTGGGGGGAGAAGCTTTAAAATAAAAACAAAACAAGACGAAAGATGAAAACACGGACATAAAAATCATTTTCTTGTACATAAAAAAAAGAACCACTAAATGCAGCCTGTTACGACCGCTGCTGCCTCATTTGCCTGATTTTGATGTTCTTGTGTTTTGTTTTGGGGGGAGCCTGGGGAGTGGGGGTGGAGGGTCTAGGGGCTCCTTCCCCATGGGCTGGGTCCCATGCTTGTAGCACTTGGGGGTTCCAGACAGAGGACCCAATGCTGGCCTCATCCTTCCCGCCCGGCCTGGGAGGTGAAGCAGGGGAGGGAGGGGTCTGGACGGTGACTCTTGCCTCTGGGCTCCAGGGTGGGGCCCGTGTCTGGCTCCCCGAGGTGAGGGCAGGTGGCTCGGAGAAGGGGCCTGAGGGACAGTGGGGGAGGCCTGAGGGACAGTGGGGGAGGCCGGAAGAACCTGCTAAGCTGGCTCCTCGGCCGCCTCCTACTGCAAGGTTTCTGGAGGCCCTGGGTGGGTGGCCCACACAGGGAACCCCAGGTTGCCGGAGCCTCCAAAGTGCAGCCCCCTTTTGGGCCCCAGTGCCCTGATCAAAGAGCTGAGCTGGCTGCCTCCTCCATATCCCCAGGGAGAAGGTTGGGCGAGGGCCCATTCACTGGGGAGGGAAAGCGGGCCGCAGCCCCCATCTCTGCGTTGGGGTCACCAAACATGGCCACTTACAGGGCCCTGGGGAGAGCTCTCCTTGCCATCCTCCAGTCGGACTCAGGCCAGCAGCGCCTGGAGTTGGGGTGGGTGACAGTGGCACCAGGGGACACAGGTGGCCATGGTCACAGCCTGAAAGACGACAAGCAGGACTGAAGTGGAATCTGTAGGGCCTGGCCCAGCCCTGGGTGGGAAGGCCAAGTGCAGGGGCTGGGGAGGGACTCTGGGTGTCCTGCAGTGGCAAGGTCTGCACTTGTGTGATCACATGGCAGACACAGGTCTCCAACATGGACTGAGTGGGGGGTGGGATTGGGCGGGGGTGGGGGGGGTGTTTAATGGTTCAACAGCCAGACACTGAGGGAACCTGAGCCAGCCACAAGGGGAACTGATCAGGACGGAGATGAAAGCAGGTTCAGCAGCCACTCAGTCCATGTGGCCTCTGCACTCACATTCCCGAACCCCCTCCCAAGGGAGAGGGGCTTTTTTGAAATCCCATTCACGTATAGTTCCCCTTTATAAAATCACCGGTGGTAGCATATTGGAAATTTATGCAGCCATCACCACCATCTCATTTCAGAACATTCCATTCCCCAGAAAGAAGACCCTCTCCATCAGCAGTCACTCCCTCTCCCTCCCCCAGCCCCTGACACGCGAACGCACTTCCTGTCTCTGTGGATGTGCCTGTTCACATTTCACATCGGTGGAGCCTCACCGTGCGGTCTTGTGTGTCTGGCTTCTCACTGAGTGCCCTGTGCTCAGGGTTCATCCACGTTGTAGCGTGTCAGCGCCTCCCTCCTTTTCATGGCTGACTATTCCAGTGCACGGATGGGCCACACTTTATCCATTCTTCAGCTGATGGCGTTGGGCTTATTCCCACCTTTGGCTATTGTAATGCTGCTAGAAAGACTCATAACACAACTTTTCATGAGAAGGTAGGTTTTCATTTCCCTTGGGGGGAGGCTACCTATGGTAGAATTGCTGGGTCAGATGATAACTCCATGTTTTGTTTAACCTATGAACCAGGTCACTATTCAATTCCTGTTCAGGGTATGTGCTGGGATTGTGGGCTTGATCCCCAGTAGGGGGCATGCATGAGGCAGCCCATGGATGATTCTCATCACTGATGTTCCTAACCTTCCCTCTCAAGTCTTTTTTTTAAATATATTTTATTCATTTTTTACAGAGAGGAGAGAGAAATATCGATGAGAGTCATCGATCAGCTGCCTCTTGCACACCCCCTAGGGATATGCCCGCAACCAAGGTACATGCCCTTGACCGGAATCGAAACCGGGACCCTTCAATCCCCAAGCCGAAGCTCTATTCATTGAGCCAAAACCGGTTTCGGCTCAAGTCTTTTTTTTTTTTTAAGAAACGTTGATGAAAAACATCCTTGGGCTGCCTCCTGCACGCCTCCTACTGGGGATTGAGCCCACAATCCAGGCCGGTGCCCTG